CCAGACACGGCAAACATTGAACAACGCGGAATCCAACGCTTTGACCCGCCGACACGCCCGCCTTGTAATGCGCGGCCATCGTTCAAAAACACCTACCGCTGGCCATTAACACGTTGAGTGCGGCTCACATTTGTTGACTAAGATTGATTAGAGCGTGACCATACAGTGGTCACGCTGGTTTGAACTTTTGTTAAATTAATGACTGTTGTCTCTTTCATCGGTTTTTCAGTTGTTGTTGTTTTTTTTTGTTTTTTTTTGTTTTTTTTAATTTACAATTTTTATTTCCATTTCCCCGAGAGGGCATTTTTTCCCCCTCGCACTCTTGGACTTTTGTAGGAAGCGAGGTGTCGGGTGGTGACCCTCCGCCCCCGCTCCGCCCCCGGACCGTGCGGCACGCGAAGTCATGGCCCCCGCCGCCCATCCATCCTCGAGGCCGTACCGCCGCCATTCGCCCGCCGCCGCGGCACCGCGGCCGGCATTAGTCTCTGTCACGAATATTTGCTACTTTCCGAGCAAACACCATTAGTTGTCGCGATGTCGAACAGCCGGCTGGCTCGGGCGCGGGCGGCGATGGGGTTCACGTGGACCCCTCCCCCCCCCCCCCCTCTCTGTCCTCTCGCTGCGCGCACCGTCCGGCCAGCGCCGCCCTTTCGCAATCGACATCATGACTGTTTGATGAATATTTGACCGGGGCAAGCGTCAACACCCCGCCGCCGGCCCCCGCTCTGCCATCGCTCACCCCCAGCAGCAGCAGCAGCCCCCCCATCATCATTGCAGCGCCGAGTGACACATGCCTGCGCGCGAGGAAAGGGCGGGAAAAAAAGAGTGTACAGCAGTGTAAAGTGACGCGCAAAAAGTGAGGCATGGTCAGCGGCATGGCCTGGCCGTGCCGGCAGCCCGGCGACACCAGCTGCTACACCGCCATAAATACGCGGTACGCGGTGTGCGAGCGGCCGGCAGGCGGGGGAGTGAGAGGGGAGGAAAGGGTTGTGGATGGTCTTAGAAGGGGTCCTTTTTGCTCGCCGCGAGGACGGCGTCCTCCAGGGTTCGACGGCGGGGGATGGAGTATACATCACGTTCACCGCCCTGTTGGTGCGCCGAGGAGGGGGAGAGGCGGGGGGTGCCGAGGGGGGCAAGTCTCGGGTCGGGTCGAGTCGAATTAATATCATCGGTCATGTCCGTGTTCTTGGCGGCGCGCCACCCACCCCCAGCAGCGTGTATACTGGGTGCGCGTGTACATGGAGGCGGGTGGTGTGTGTGTGCGTGCGTAGAGGACGGGGGCAAACTTTCCTCTGCCTCCTCTCTCACTCTCTCTCACCCCTTTCCTCCCTGCTCCGTTGCTGACCGCGCGCGGGGACTCGTGCACTCGACCCTTTCTCTCGCCGGAGAATAAAGCAAGCAACCCGCCGCCGTCGTCGTCTCCTTTGGCCGCTGCTGGTAATTAATAGATGGCCCCCCATGACGGGCTCGCGCTCGGCTCGCGCGCACGGACACGGCCGGCCGCCTCCCTGCCCTGCCCTGCTGCTTTTCCTGTCAGGGGCCGCCGCCGTCTTGGCCTCGCGCGAGATTAACGATGTCGGATTGCTCCCTCCCCTTCTTCCGCTCCCGGCTGCGGCGGCCAGGTGAGTGGAGCAGTAGTCGGGGAGTCCCTGGAGTGATTTCACCGGGGACGTGTGTGTGTGCGGGCTGCTCGCAGGAGTAAGGAGGTGGAAGCTGCTGGGAGCTCTGGTGGTGGTGCCGCGAGGAAAAGCCATATTGAATCCCAAGAAAAAGTACCGCGCGCGGCGGAGGAGGAAAGTCGGACGGACTGTGATCCCTCGGCATCGGCGGCGTGCGGACAAATGTGGCCCATGAGTGCGGAGCGGCGGGGCAGGCGGGCGGGCGGCTGGCTCCCTGTCCGGGACCGACATCATGAAGGCCGTTTCTCTCCTGAGCGGACAGACGGGCGGGTGGCGCCGGGGAATTTATTCCCCGCCGATGGAATATGGAGTGCCGCCGCGTCCCCGGGCCTTGCGCGCGATCCGTCAGCTGCTGAGCGGGCTAAGGGAGGAGTGTCTCCTCCTGGAGGAGGAGTAGGAGGGTCTCCTCCTGGAGGAGGATCTCCCCGAGAAGGATGAGGAGGGTCTTATCCTGGATAAGGATGCACTTATACACACAAAATTTTGATACCCACGACCAATTTTGTTCGATCAGTCCGGCTTAGTCACAGGCATCAACATGTTAGTTGCTGTAACCGACATTTTGGTTGCTCTAACCAAAAGTTTAGTTGCTGCGACTAAAATTTTGATGGCCTTCCTTGACAATCCGGACTG